TGCTATTCATTCTAATTTTATCCTTATTGTCAAATCGGTGGATCTTGAGCGAGTTGGAATGAGATATATTCTAAAGGAAAGAACGTATAGGACACCATAGAGAATCTAGTACAAGAACATGCAAATTACTTAAGAAGTGAGAAAATGTTGGTGAGCTAGTGGGACACGGGTAACGTCCTAAATCTCATTATTAAGAAAAAGATTACGAGTTTTCTGCACCAATGAGAGTTCAAGAATGACGCACTGCGGGTGATTTTCAAAATTCAACTGAGATTTTCTTTTAAAAGCTAGAAATGAAACCGTGGTTAGGATTTCCTCAGCCTTTTTTCAACTTGGAACAAAGCGTTAAATCTCGTTACTTTTGAAAACACTTTATAAGAGGCGAGAGCGCCAGTGCAAGTATCCACGGTGCTTTGTGATTATCTTAGTCGCATATTCATTTGAAAATTGAATTGATACAGCTTCAATTTATAAAAACATTCTAGGTTTTCGAATGTTGTATTTAGCTACGGCCTTTTCATTTCGTGAGCAACCAAGCCATGGTAGGTTGTTAACTAATTTGGCATGATAACTAAATATGGCATGTTAACCAAATTTGGCATGTTTCCTCCGTCGTCTTCGAATCCGGTTGGCCAATACACACCCTACACTATAGAAATTTATGTCCCTTGGAATAGGGGAAGATCAACTAATTAACACTTCTGATCTTTGGATAATGCTTTTTAAAATTTTATGTTCGTGATGCCTTGAATAAGATTTTGCGTAAAAGGAATCGAGTTCACAGTCTCCTGCGATTCAAACGAGAGCCCGGAAAAGAGACGGGGGTGACTTACTAAACAAATAAATTACATTTCCCCATCTTTGATGCATCAGGTAACTACCATATACGAGAATTTTCGTAGACTCCTCGTAAACCTGCCTTTGTTGATAAAATGATGTATGATAACAAATAAGTCGATAAGCTGCTGTGATTAACCACTCAATGTTTTAACACATTCGTTAACTCTTTAAAATTGATTATAAGTTATCAGATAATTGCTATTAGTATATTGTTAAGGTTTGTCCACTCATTAAGTGACCAGATTAAATCACAAGTACTTTCACAAAGGAGAGGGTAAAGTTTATCAGACTAACAAGTCGGGTTTTCCTCATCAATTGCGCTGCGCTCATTTGAACAATTATCACAGCGATGACAATTATTGATAAAAACGTTTATATTCTCGTAGGCCAGAAAAGTGTAAATAAAGTCTGTCCAATTATGGACCAACGATGAGATGAGCATTGGGTGCCAAACGGAGGATCACAAGTACTGAAAACTGATTTGTTTCTGAAACAAAACGATCTTTTCTTAACTCTTATGATAGACTTAAAAAAAATCATTTTGCACTGGCATTCTACTACTTTTGTTAACTTTGCCAACTTTTAACCGTATTACTAACAGTTCGAGGTTGTACGTAAATAAACCGTACAGTGATAACTTTACTGAAATAAATCAAGCATTAACAAAGGAAACGCGTTATCTCTTTGCTTGAGGAAAACAATGCAGCCATCTCTCGCTATGAATCAAAAGATACCCATTGCCTTTGGAAATCAATACATGTAAATCATCCATGGAAAAGGAAAAAAAGTAAGTAAATGAACGATAGTAAAAAAAAAATTATTTAACATCACACGTTAGTGTGTAAAGAAACTTTGTACAAAAAACTTTGAGAATCTACCTATTATCGCTGGCAGAAATAAGTTCTTCTTGTTGCATTTGTGTATCTACATTTCAGTTTGAGGAGATAACCAAAATGTTAAGGCTCAACTTAAATTGAAATGTCGATACGTGAACTGCATTGGCGATACAGAGGTGTGCAAAGATTACTACTTGTTTTTACCCACAATCTGTCCTTAAAGGAAAGCAAAGTACGATGCGGAACGTCACAGAGGCTGTTGATGAGGAATGTTGAAAAACTTTGGATCTTACAAAACTTTTATCAGATCGCGAGAAATAGTCATTCTTTGCCGTGCCTTTATATTCAACAATTCCTTTTAAAGTTCAGATCAAAGTCAAGCTGAACCAAGTGTTATTACTTTAAGTGGAGAAAGGAACCGAGAGGCTTGGCATCTCGCAAATCTTGCATTTTAACCTTAACAAACATGACACATTTTGATCGGTTCAGTCTTTCAAACCCCCTTGGTTTTGAACTAAGTGTATCGTTACTATACCTTGCTGCCTTCTTCACCTCGCACTAGGGGCGCTGAACAGTGGGAACTGCTGGGTTAGGTTCTTCTTTGCGGACTTCCGAAAGGGCTTTGATCTGATAGATCATAACATTCTGTTAATGAAGCTTAAATCCCTTAACTTACACCCCTGCTTAGTTAGATGGCTAGCCGCTGTTTTACTGGAGAGATCGCAATGTCTAAGAATATCTGATTCATCGTCTCCTTGTTTACACCTTAACAGAGGAATCCCTCAAGGGACGAAATTGAGTCCACTTCTGTTCGCCATTATGGTCAATGAGCTAGTCAAAGATTGGGGCCCTAGAGCCAAATACGTGGACGACCTTACAGTGATGGAGGTTGTTCCTCGGAACTCACTGTCAGTCATGGGCTACACTGTAAACTCCATTAACACATTTATCTCAGATAATAATATGTCCCTTAACCCCAAGAAGTGTAAATCTATGGCGGTGGACTTTCTTCACTATAATAGCGTCGGCTGCCCTCCCCTGGTAACCGGCGGATCTGTTATTGAGTGTGTCAAGTCGTTTAAATTTCTCGGGGTTTATTTATCAAGCGACTTGACATGGGGGGAGCACACGGACTATATAGTTAAGAGGGCCAACCGCAGGCTATATGCCATCAGAACGCTTAAGCGCTTTGGAGTGTCCCAAGCTGACATTGTTGGGGTGTACTGCACGCTCATTAGGCCTCTTCTGGAATATGCGACACCTTCATTCGTCAATCTTCCACAGTGCTTGTCGCAGGCCCTAGGAGAGGTCCAGAAACGCGTACTTGCTATTGTTTTTCCGAACCTTGCATATGCAGATGCGTTAGCTGCGTCTCGGATCGCCACGCTTGCGGAGAGGCGCGAAGAAGCTTGTAAGAAGCTTATACGTACCCTGACACTGTCAAACCCTGTTTTCAATATTTTCAAAAGCCGACTCGCTCAACCAAGCAAAAAGTACAATCTCTGGTCTTCTTCTACTAGTTAAGTGAAAAGCACAAAAACTGACCGTTTTGGAAAGTTTGTAACGAATAAGTTTGCCACTTATTTAAAGCAAAATGTGTAAAAATCCATTATGTATTATTGTATTTTGTAAGCTTACTTCCATGTATACAATTTGCTGACAATACCTGTAATTCAGATTTTCTGCAAGGGGTATAAATAAACAAACATTACATTACACAACATGACATCATGCGCAACGTTTGCAAACATGAATAATTCAGTACGAATCTTCTGGCACCAAAACAAGCGCGCACTAAACTTAAACAGCTAGATTATACATTTCTCTGAAAAAAAGTGTCCAAATAGTGTTCAAATTCAAGAGATTCGAGCATTCCTTACCTCTTAAAAGAATGTTTATCGTCATCAAGGTCGAATGTAAAAACAGTCTACTCTGTTTATTTCCTGAGTTTTAGTGTACATTTTTCTCCGTTTCCGAGATCGCTGCTTAGATGCACTTGCTTATCTAGGTCAATCCAGTGTCCAGAGTGCAAACTATGAGACAACGGATTTCCTGCTCTAAACGAAAGATAGATAAACTCAACTCTCAGTAGACAAGAGGATTTCTGGGAAGATTGTGCTGCGATGTGTTGGAAGAGAAAACAAAAGAAAACGAACTCTTTCAATTGACACGGGATTTCACAACAATGTTAATAAGAGAGGTTCACCTATCGCTCGATCGGACCCTATTCTCCTTGGATGGAAAGTACTTTGAGCTTGAAAATCATATGATCCCATCCAAGCGTGTGCTAAAATCTGAGATGTAGGTGAAATTAAGAAAGACGGCTACAGTCGGCCATCTCATGACCGTTGGCTGCAAGGTTGGCAGGAATACTCAATAATCGGACGAGGTGCTTATTTTAACTGCTAGCTTGTTTTACGCTTTGTAATTATATCGTTAGTAACGCTTGTGGGCAAAATAAGGCGAATCCTGTGCCCTGATTGGCTACCCGAGCGGATAAGATGGGCCAATCTTGCCCGCTTGGGATTGCCCGCTTTGATCCCGAGCAAGAAAAACATTTCCTAGGGTCGCGTTACAAAGTTTGGACAGTGTCGGCGATGGAATTGAAAAAAGCAGAGGACAGTCACAAAAAGGAAACATAAACGTGGGTTTATTGTCGACATAGTTTTAGTCCCTAAAAATACAGGAAGAGAGCTCGACCAATATCCAGCCATTTTGACCTCACGCTTGGTCAATAACGCATAATTATACTGTATATATATAATGCTATACCACAGATTGGAGCCCTTACAAAGATCCAAATACAATATATGTCACTGAGATCCCTAATCAATCTCTGTATTCAGTTATCCGAAACTGGTTTTTTTTATCACCTAACTAGAGTGGATCCGTCAAAAATTGCGTACCTACATTTATGACTAAAATCTTCTGGTTTTGAAGTAAAGTAAAATTGTCCCTTATCACTTATTAATTTCCTTTTCTTGCCTCAACCAGGAGTAACATTTAAATCAGAAAAACGTTCAGGAAAATTAACAGTTGTTTCTGTTTTTGTAAAGATGAAATAAACAATTTTTAATACAAGAGAAAAATTGAGTCTCCAGATGGGATTTGAATTAAATTGGATTATTAAAAACTGTTTATTTTATCTTTACATGCTCACTTTGGGGGCTGGTTGGTTGCATGTGATGTTTTAATGCATGTGATGCTTTAATGTGACAGCGTGATGCTGTTAGTGAGCTTCTATGCGCTAGCTGATGTTTGGCTGTGTAGCCGCATGATGCGGTTCCAGTCAATACCCACTAATTGACCCTTGCTCACCATAGAGTCTCCTGTAGCTCAGTGGTTAGAGCATCCGACTAAATCACGGAGGGTCGTGGGTTCAAATCCCATCTGGAAACTCGGTTTCTGTTATTCGCGACAATATTTATTCTAATTGGTCTCCTTTTCATATACACCTAATAGACACTTCAACCTACAAGTCTTTGAAAAAAAATACATTACAAAACAAAACAATCTTTCTCTCCTAAGATTTTAATAAAACATTCTCCTACTTTGCCTCGTCCTGAATAAGAAAAGGTACTCCGAAGAATTCGTCTGATCCTTCAGTTAATAGGTAAAGAGCACCAGGACTATACCGGTGCCTCTCAAACTCACTTATTTTATGGTTGGCCTGAAATAAATCTTAATCTATAGTCGTAAGCCATAGTCATCATAACAGTCAGTGTAGCCATTGCCGAGATCTTAGTCTGCATAGCCGTCATAGCCGGGATCATACTCATCATAGTCGCCAAAGTCACCATAGCCGGGATCATACTCATCATAGTCGTCAAAGTCACCATAGCCGGGATCATAGTCATCATCGCCGTCGTAGCCGTCATAGCCGCCAGAGCCGCCATAGCCGCCATAGTCGGGATCATAGTCATCATACCCGAAATAGCCGTCATATGCTGCTGGTTCATTATGACCACCATTACCTGTTTTTTCGGGTGGACCACCAGTTTGATAAGCTTTTTCCAATGAGTTAGCGAAATTGGAACTTTCGTTTTGATCTTGCTGATTTGGTAATGCTTCTACACTTCGTCCTTTTTTCGGCTCTCCTTTTTCATCCTATTGTAACGCAAATGCAGGAAATAAGTGTAATCGACAATCTGAGTCAGACATGAATGAGAAAGAAGTGTATGGATTCGCGTTATATTAGGAAGGAGTTGGTTAAATAATGATAAACTACAAACGAATTTCTCCTTGTGTTTCATAGCAGAGCTTATCAATAGAGAAGAATTACTGAAACGTAGGTCGACTGATTTTCTAAGTTCAAATGGGACTGATATTTTACACACTGAAGGAACTAAAATGGTGAAATTCTTACACTGCACTTGGTATTTACTGGAGAGGAACTATCATGTAACATGAACTCTGTGAGTGTTACATTTTTGCTTTCGAACACATTTTTTTCTGCTCTAGATGATTGAAATCTCTGCTGGGAATTAATGTTTGCGTTCAGACCGATCTTAAAACGTGCAATATGATAAGCCTAGACTATGGTGGTAACGCATCAGGTACTTACAAAATAATCGTTGGCAATGGTCAGACTTTGGTTTCTTTTCCAAGCTGTTTTGACCCTATCTACTTCCTCTTCGTCCATCTCAACGTTCTCCATGTTCAGTCGCTTGAGTTTTGAGACCTTGCAGAGATTCTCGACGAGATCACACACTCCTTGTGCCAATGGATTGTAACCAACGGATAGTGTTCTGAGAGTTTGAAAGGACCTAAGATAGCTAGTTAGCTCTGTAATCTCTTCGACACCCATCTTTGTGTCATTCATATTGAGCTCAGTTAGGCAGGCTGCTCTGAAAAGATTTTCTGCAATCACAACAACTGCACTTCCCAGAGGATTGTGGGAAATATCCAGATTTTCTAACTTTGAAAGAAATTGTAAGCCTTTGGCGAGGGACCTTGCTCCTTCTTCATCCATTTTGGTATCACTCAGTTCCAGATCAGTAAGGTGAGTAATATACTCCAAATTATCTGCCAACTCTGAGATCGAGGTTCCCAACTGGTTTCGAGACACGGAAAGTACTTTCAAATGAGGAACATGGTACAAGGAATTGGCAAGGTCTGAGAAGGCTCGTTCGTCCATACGCACATTTGACAACTCCAAGACAGTCAGCTGTTGCAGGTGATGTAGATTGTCTGCTAGGCATCTAATACTGCTCCCCAGCGGATTTTCAGATAGGTACAACTCTTCCAGGTTACTAGCTTTTTGGAAGTCATCTGTAAGAACGGGCAGAAATTGTGCTGTCAAGCATATTTTGTGGAGTCTCAAACGTCGAAGACGCTCCGTGATGCTTATTCCTGACACAAGAGCTTCAATCTTCTTAGGCTGTGAAGATTCATGAAAACTTCGTAACGCTACCTCACGGGGTCTGGTAAGAAGGGGCATGACATTAGAAATAACCATGTCGCCATGTATTTCATCAATGTCAATCTTTTTTGCCAATGAAAAGCAATGCCGGCTAGCTAGCCTATCCACTCTAGTCGCCTCATCACTGCCTCGTGTATCCTCATGGTCCGTGGGTGTCTGAACAATAGTATCCATGGTTGGTGGTGTAGCCTCACCTAATGCACCGATGACAACACTGGAAATCTGAGAAAAGTGTAGACACATCTCATCTTCCTTGCCCTTTAAGAACAGAGAGGCCAATACTTCGCTTTTGGTCTGTCTTCTCACGAAATCCGAAGCCTTTCCTTCCTCTGAGGTCATTACAATTACCGAATTAAGATCGTCCATGATAGAGGCCATGTAATCCCGGTCTTTCAGAGCTGGATGCCTTTGGAAATCGAAGAGAACACAGTTAGGAAGGGTGTCAGACTTCACAATATGGCCGTCGGCTACTCGAGGCAAGAGTGTGTCTGGTATAACTAAGACGCCACTGACAGATTTCAGAAGTGACGGGTAGACATCTGCCTTTGATTCATTGGGTGTTGCAATAAAGCACTCTAAGGTTAGCTCTAACAATTTTCTGTCATCGTCCGACAGATCATCCAGGAATAGGGTTTCGTCTTCGGAAGGATTCTGGCTCTTCCTCAAAGAATCAAGGTGCTGCAATACTGCTATCGAACCTTCCGGTGACCACTCGCAAACAAACTTGAAGACTTCAAGAAAGTCGACCACTTTTCTGGTGGAATCTATGGCTGGCATGCATGAGAGACCGTCTTTGGAGGAAGGAATGAGCCTGTGAATGATAAACCAAGCCGCCAAGAACTCTTGAATGGATTTATGTAGAAAGGCAATCTTCTTCTTTGGCTTTGCACTGAAGAGCTTTACGATCTGAATAACGCCAACAGTTAGTAATTTGCTACTCAGAAGTTCGGTAGGAAAATTTTCATAATCAAACTCAAGAGAATTGCTTAGTAAGGCTTTAAATGCCAGCTCTCCAACTTTTTCAAGATCTCCTTCATAATCACCAATCCTTTCAAACTTTTCCTCGTTGCCTTTTGCAGCCATGTGATTGAACAGAGTTTGAATGAACTCTTTGTACAGGTGTACTTTCGCCTCTGGCAAAGCTTCGCGATCTTTCTCCTTCCAGACCAGACAAAGCATCAGCAGAAGAAGGGGTATTTCTGCAATCTCCATCAGTGTATGCTTCTTTATGTAGTTTAGAAACATCTCTACTTTTTTCTCATCTTCCAGCATCTTAATTGCGAACTCTTTGATCCGAGCCCAGTTAAATCCCTTGATCTGGAACTGCGCGTGGCTGAATCGTTTAGTATCATCTTCCTTTACTGGTCGTGTCGTCAAAATCACGAAGCATTCTCGGAGCTCATCCCCTATCCAAATGCGATGTACCACTGGCGAATTCCCAGTGGCGCTGTACTCGTCAAAGCCATCCAAAACCAACAAAACTTTATCTTGGTGATCAAGGATGTACCTGTTAAGACCGTCAATGTATCGTTGATCTTCCGCGGGAAATAGCTTGGCCTCAATCAAAATGTTACGAAACGTCGTACTATCGCAAACATTCCGCAACGGGATCATGAGAAGTAGATCAAACTTCTTAAGGATTTCCTTTTTGCCTTTTGCCCAGTCGAGAGCGATTTTCCGAGCAAAGGTGGATTTTCCGATTCCGGGTATACCGTAAACAAGGAATCTGTTTGAGTGTGAGTTGCTTTTCTGCTCTCTCAAAACGTCGGAATAATCATCGAGTTTTTCCTCTTTCTTCCCACTTGGCTTCCGGTTGTCCCTGACCCAAAACAGTTCTGTGTAAATATCATCGATGTGTACGGTGTTGTCGGGATCCCAAGGTGTGATGTTAACCTGGCTTAAGTTGTTGTAGTGCTTCTCTAAACGGATTTTATAATCTGCAATGTAAAAGCACAAGAATTGGAGTGACACTGCAAGACGATTTTTATGATATGTCAGAGAGCATCTGAGGTGCTAAGAATTTCCTCTGTTCAAAATCACTGAAATTCTTGGGGAGATTTGATATTGAGTTCTTCTGTTCAATCGTATCAGCATAGAATTTATTGCTTGTCGAGTTACTGCATAGCACTCTGAAGTGTTGGCATATCTGTGTATTTTTAGTAAGACATCTTTAGTACCAACCTTCAACGTTAAGTTCTTCTGCAGATAATGCCACTGGCATCGCAAAATCTAATTTCTCGTCCAGCTTTTGTAGTTGACAATCGAGGGTCCCCAGACGACCTTTGATTTCACCAAGCTCCGCCAAGACGCTTTCTTCATTTTCCCTCCATTCTTTCAGAAGCTGTTGATAGTATTGCTCCTTCTCAGGGTCAACTCCCTCAGTTTTCATTTTATCAATAGTCGCCTCATAAATGGTTCCTCCGAGTCTCACCAAAGCCTCCTTGATATTTTTCCAGTGCAATTCAAATTCTCCATCATCAATAGAAGCCTGTTTGGCGTGGGCAAGCACATCGTTCCGATGAATCGTAATACGGACAATATCGGCTGCCTCTGTGTTGTCTGCTGCATGCGGGAGAGTGTTCCAGCCAGATGTCGGTGGAGAAAAGCCACAAATGTTCTTTAGAAGGACAGCTAGCAAGGAAATGTCAAATTGCTCAGATGACACTGAAGATGAAGTGATTATAACCCACTGCGCTTGGTTGAGAACTCGTTTCTTTCTTAAGGAATTAAGCTTAGGAAATACCGGATGAGTTGTCAAAACTTTGTTAAGGCTTCCTGCTGGACGTAGTCTATCGAATGTATCTCTTAGTACTTTCGAACCTAAATCCACCAGCAGGCGACACAACCGGGCGTAGTTGGTTGTCTCTTTGGTAGAAATAGACGCTGTCGCCATACTTGGAAAAGAATCCTACGAGTAACACAAAAATCCAAAGATCACTCTAAAATTCTCCAGGTTATTTTAGCGTTTACTTTTTTCAAGCGCTTTTAGTAACAATTATGGAAATGAAGCCAACTCACCGCCATACCACAGCTTTCTCCTGCATTACCCGAGAGTATTGCTATGCCAAATTATTAACATAAGTCACAACCGAAACAAATAGATCGGTAAATTCTAGGAGAAAATGCTTTCTTGCAAGAGGTGGCACAAGCCATCTACGCAAAGAGAATACTGATCATTAATAGAGTTAATTTCTATGACTTTAATAGTTAATTTGTGTCTCAATTTTTGGGTCTATCCTTCGGCTATAGAAGTTAGCGTTTCCATGTCAATTAAGTTCATTCTGAAAGGTTCCTACACAACAATTTTCGCCTATTATCACTAGTTTCTTCAAGAGTCTTCTTGATATTTTTAAAAGCTTCCTTAATCGTTCGCATCGAATTAGAAGGTAAACAATGCTACAGGTTTTGCCTCTTTGTTTGTCAGTGGGCCCTGGGATCCACTCGGTCAGCTTAGTTTCCCAGGCCCGTTCGGTTAGGAGCTCGTTTGTTGCGTCTTTAGTTTCAGCAGAGTTCACTTTACAACCTCTTTATTTGTCAGTTTATCACTCATCGCAGCATCATCCACGTAAATTTTCATCTTTCTGTTATTTTATTGTTTTCCCTTATCGTATTTTCTGTCTTCTGTTTCCGTTCAATCGTTTTCTTTAGTTTATTTGCATGTAGTTTCACCACTCGACACCGAAGATAAATAAAAACATTGATTTGCATAGTCTTCGTGTTTGGTTGAACACTGCGCTGAGAACGCGACAAACAATGACAAAATAGATTACTGAGAGCTTGTGGGGTTCCTTTTAAGTGTTGACTCGAAAATCTTGTGAAACATATCCCAAAGTGAAGGTATGAGTAAAGCATTCGTAATTGTCCTTCTTCCGGGCCTCTTTCAAAAGGACGCTGTTATTATGCAATTTTTCTGTTTGAGAGCAAAGTGAAATTACGAAGGCGTGATGAAACAAACAGGGAGGATCATATAGCTGGTAGCGCCCGTGGGCAAGATGAAGCGAATCCTGTGTTCTGATTGGCTGCCCAGCGGGCAAGATGGGCCCTCCTTACTCGCTCGGGACTACGCGCAAGAGAAAAACTGCGTGGAGCGCATCAACAAAGTTCGCAAGTTTCGGACAATGTCGGCGATAAAGTGGCAAAAAGCGGTATAAGACAGTAAAAACAAAGAAACAATTAAACGAGCCTCTTAGATACGCTGAGCTACAAACACAGTTGTTTTTCTTCCCCGGCTCTCGAGATAAACAGTCATTCTTGATTCTTATTTAAGTGAAATACTTTTGCTATATAATAAATCGTTATTTTATCATGCTTCTTTGGTCAAGATGGCCGGATATTAACCAAGTTCTTTTCTTCTTTTTTCTTTTGCGTTTGCGTTTGCGTTTGGACTTTGACTTCGTCTCGGTCTAGGAGAATGCAGAAAATAACCGGACTACGACATATCCAGCCATCGGTCAATAACACATACAAATACAAGCTTCGGTTGAATATACAGTTGAATGACGATTAGAAAGAACTATTAGTTGTTATTATCATAAGAAAAAGAAAACCATTACGTGTATTACATGAGTAATATGTCTCGCTTACACAATTTCTGGGTGATATTTCGCTTTCTCATATCAAGAAACGTGGCTCAACATTGATAACAGTAGGCCTTGTCATACAAGCAGAAAATGACCCTCTAGGGCCATTTTTGAACAATGGCGCAACATTTTCAGAACACACTAGGGATTTGTCGAAGTTTCCGATTAGCATACAAGCGCGAAATTTAAAAGCTCGGAAAGACTGAAGGAAAGACAAATTCTCCCTGAGGATGGTGATACTGGTAGGTTTCGCTCAGTACAAATAACGACGGGTGTGGGGGACGGATAGGGGTGACGGTTGTATAAAGGGCAACAATATTAAAGCTTAGAAGGCGGTAGCTTACAACTATGATATCGCCACTGTTTGCTTTTATCTTGCTTTAAACTGACCAAAGATATATTGAACTATTTATCCAGAGACGCACTACGCTAGGCACTGACGATGAAAGCATGCATTTAGCCAAGGAAGCGAGGCGTTCGCCATACAGTCATAAACTAAGAGCAGTCCCTCTCTACTCTATCCGATCGTGATTTTCCAGGCAGACAACGAAAAGAACATTTAAAAACGGAAAATAGGAGCGAGAAAGTTGGAGTGGGAAGCTTTCACTTTCTCGCTCGACGCTCTCAGATTTCATAATATGAGAGCAGTTCAAATCTCGAGCGCGCTACGCAAGTCAGACTTAAATCTTTGTTTGCATAGTAAGTAGCTGTAATAGGATTGAGTGGAGTCGGCATAGGGTAAAATATAGACTGGACTGGACTATTCTGTGGATCATTTTTTGGATCGTTTCATAAGGGGGGAAGCACACCAGTACTCAAGGAGGGGTGGGTGCAGTTTATAAGTACTGAGAGAGGGGTGGGAAGCAGAGTGTTATTACACAGGGAAGGGTGGGAGGTGGTTGTAATTGTAAACACTACTGGTTAATGGAGCTTTTACTCGATAGTATAAATTATTTTAATCGGTTTTTCGACTGACTTTTTGTATATCAAAAAGTCAGTTTCTTTAATTTTTTTGTCATGCGAAAGCGTTGCTGTCAAGTAAAAACTGGACGCCGTTTTCGAGGTCTGTGTTCTTTAGACACCCGAAGGAAGATTGCTTTATACGATTGTACCATCAACTATTTTATATAATAAACGTATAAACGTTAAAATTGCGATGGCGCTTATGAATTTTATATACAACTAAGTCAACGGCAAAGAACCGGAAATTCTGTGATCTTGTCTGATAACATCAATGACAAAAGGAAGATAGATAAATCTGGTAATTACATACTGTATAGTCGAAGGAAAACTGATGGTGCACAAATCGACTCAAAAGGCACATGCATACGTCAACAGTGGAGGATCGTAAAAACGATATTTTAAATAAAAATTAAAGAAACGCCGCGGCCCAGCGCAGACAACTGATATCTGATATACAAGAAGTCAGTCGAAAAAGCGATTAAAGTCATTTATATCATAAGAAAAAGCTCCATTAAAGTGTCCTTGAGATCAAATTTTTCGTACATCATTTTTTTCCATTCTCGTTTTCAGTGTGTCTCCTTCACCTACTCTGCCAAATTTCAGTTTGGACTGAGCACTAGAAATATCTTTTTTCGGGCCGTTAAATTCACGATTTCGCGTTCGCCATTATTTAATCCTGTTCCGGAAGTTGATCGCAGGACTCAGGAGAAGTGACGTCAAAGGCTCGATGCGCAATTTAAAGCTGAAGTAATCGTGCAGACCATGCTGCAGGTATTTCTCTGCATCAGAGTCTTGCAAATAGATCACAGCGGGAAAAACGGATGCGATTTGTGCGACCTCGCCGAGTAAATTTCAATCCTACAAAAATATTTGTGATCTACTCCGAACACTTCTTGGAGGACTGTTTCGAGAGATCTGTGTACTTTGAAGGATCTAGGCGAAGAATTCTGTCGGGTTCAGAGCCTACCTTTCAAGAAGAGGAGGGACAAGAAAAACCGTCCTCAGTGCGATCTCGACGCCGGAAAACGAAGTCTGCGAACCTCCGCGCATTTTGTCACCTTTACATTTGAGCTGATCAATATCCACCTTTACATCACCCCGGCAGAATACCTTACACAAAGGAAAGTACTCGGTGAATATTGTAAATTAGAATGATAACATAGCCGAGTTGAGGATTGAGATTTCTGACCTCAAAGAGCTCACTTTTAAACAAAAGAGATGAAAAATATAATTGTGTGCTCTGATTCTAAAAAGAGCTGGCTTTAATATCAGCGAAAGCAGAACAAACAGCTTTAGACACAGAGCGTAAAAACACTTTAAAATGTAGGCTTGCAGCTAAAAAACCGAGAAAATGAAAATTTCTTTAAAAACTTTTCAAATTATCAACCATCTGACAGCCAAGTCAGCGTGCTATCAAAGGATCTCAAACTCATCCCAACGCCCGTGACAAACGAATTTAAAATCAGGCAAGACGATTGCGCCTCCGTTACACCTCTCACGGACAAAACAAAGAACCACTACTGTTTCATATCAAACTGAATGCCACCGGTTCAGTCTTCTATCGCCCCTCAGAGCTACTTGGAAAATTGTCATGACGCTACTTGCACGGACTGCATCTAAGCCAAAAAATACTTTGTAACGCAATGAGGTCACGGCTCTAAAAGAGTTGAAACAAACTCTGCTTTAAACCTCACCGAAGCAACACAACAATAGTCATCATGAATAAGACAGAAAAAACAAAGGAGGTCAAAGTGCAACTCAACAACAGAGTTCACTTCAAACCTCTCAAAGCGCCGATAGCAAAAAACACGTAGGAAAGGGTTAATGAGATCATTGACCAAATGCATTGGGGAAAACACATTGATGGCTTAGAAATGGCTTTCACAAACTCCCAATATCCGCCTTCGGATACACAATTAGCCATTGCCCAAAACTATTTTTACTAATCACCCGATCATTTTTTACAAAAAAAGAAAATCCCTTACGACAAGCAAAAGTACAGTTCGAACGCGATAAAGCGATGTGACCACAAAAGCCACATGGGGAGTCCGGGCCGTTCTGTGTTTACCTTTATTCGCATGGCAAAAATTCATCGTTTGTCGACGCAAAACTATCCACAGAAGCTTCGGATGATTTCTGGGACAATTTATCGTCTGAAAAAGTCGACATTTCCCGACTGACAACGAAAGAGTTCTCAAAAAAGTAATATGTGTGATTCTCTGCGCAGCGAACAAAGAGAGTTGTGACAAAGCAAAGCATAAGTTTGTTGAGCCTTTGACGTCATGATGACGTTTTTGCGGGCTCGGCTGGAACATGTTTCCAGCAATGGCGGACGATTTTTGGACGACTTTGAAGCGGTAAAAATTGGTCTTCGAAGGTTTGCTTTGAGTTTTGAATGGCAAAAAGGGTCTTAACTTGACCCAATTCAACATTGTGTAAACAATTTAGGCCAAAATAAAATGGTCAATTTTCGTCTCAGGGGCACTTTAACTAGTAGTGTTTACAATTACAACCACCTTCCCACCCCTTCCTGTGTAACAACAGTCTACCTCCCACCCCTCTCTCAGTACTTATAGACTGCACCCACCCCACCCTGAGTAGTAATGGTGTGTTTCCCCCCTTAAGAAATGGTCCAAAAAAATGGTCCAAAAAGTGGTCCAAAAATAGTCCAATCCAGTCCATATTTTACCCTATGCCGGTGGAGTCCGATTCCGTCTGTAATCATGCGAACGATAACAAAATCGGACGACCGCACAGCCGAAGTCAGATTTGTTTATCATGAGTATGATAACAAACTGTCCGATAAAAAATTTTGCTATGGTAACAATTTGCTATGGTAATAATTTGCTATGCTAACAATTTGCTAAGGTAACAATTTGCTATGGTAATAATATGCTCTGGTAATAATTTGCTATGGTAATGATCACTATAGTAATAAGATAACTCTAGTCAAGCATGTCTCCAATATTGATTTGCACTTTTTCGGTGTCAGTTGCAACAGTCGAGATCGCTGCTTTGGGGGCCACTCATGATATTTCGCTTGTGAAGAAAAGCAATATGCCCGAATTAAGATAATTCCCTCACTTAAGACACTACAATCTACTCAAAATCTTGAGAAGTTTCAGTTCTCAACAAAGCTTTCACTCGTTGATCTCTTACTCTCACTGAAGCGAAACGTTCGAAACATGCAAATATTATGTCATACGATCATGATCGGGTTCCAATCTTGCTTTGCAATCAATAATAGATATTGAATTTAACGCCTTACAACCTTCGGCGATGCAAAATCCTACCAATTGAATGATTGAAACAAATTACAGTTGGTTAGGCTGACTGAAATTCATAAAAGCTAAGATTCGATCAGAAGATGAAAGTGTTCGCCCCCAAGCTTGAAATAAACAGTGCCATTGCGCATGACGCCTGAAGCGACTGGAATGCCGTCTTGAAACATTCGGAAGCAAAACATCAAAATACTGCCTTGAAACGCAAAGTTTCATGTATTCAAGTACTTCACAAATGAAAAGGATTCGGGAAAAAGGATTGAGTCGGTGTAAACTCATTCCGTAGAGTTCTACAGACGTATGTTTGTCTGTTTGTATACTCACTCAGGCAAAGCGGGAGCGGAAATGAATTGTGCATTTTAATGCAGGAGGTTTCGTGTACTTTGAAGAAACAAGGACTCGATCTGCCACACACAGCATGAATATGTTACTTCGGATAAAAATGATTAGGATTTATGAATAAATTCTTAAAACTTTGGAATGTAAAGATCTAAATGAAAGTAGGCTTCTTTCTTTCGACACTACTGAAATCAATTTCATTGACTCAAGCCGTAATGCTATTGTTAAGTGAAATCATCATGACAATTATTCACTAGCAAACTAAACTTCTACATGTTATGGGTTTCCTCTTAAGCGAAAGTTCTCAATGTTTGCCTCAAACCTGCTGTATTGTCCGTTTTCAGCACTCCTTTCTGTCCATCTTGTAAAATTTGAAGGTCTGTCCAAACGTCTGTACACTGTAAATCATATGGCCCAAAAGAGATTCCGTCATGTAAAATGAACAAGCATTCTCTAATGTAATAAACAGCCAACAGTTCGTCGCTTCAGTGACCTCATTTTCACAAACACAACTACTCAGCCAGATTTCAATAAAATATTTTCTTATAAATGGAAGTGGGGGCTCAAGATATCCGCATTCATAATAACTGATTAAGTCAACATAAAAGTAATCGCGCTGCGTATGAAATTTTAGCAGCGTTTAGAAGTTTCGGGGAAATTGGTAAAGGAAACTATTAAATATAGTTGTATAATTTACCGACTGACATTCTTCTTGATAAGTTTAGAATATGATAAATATTCTGCGGTATTCAGTCATTTAATTCATTTTATTATATAGATACTGATGAAATACCAGGATTTCTCCTTTTACTAAAAAATCATATCTTCACCGCGCGCAGTGAACATACTATTTTTATCTTTCACGTGTGAGGATATTGGTGTGGCTATGGTTACCAACATAATTACCCAATAGCTGTTTCGAAAATGAATATAAAAAGTTGTTTTTTAGGTGGAAATTTCATTAGTGTCTATATAATAAACAGAACATTACATGGCCGCTTGGGGATACGAATTTTATCTTCTCGCGCTAAAAGTATCTCTCACGAGTGAGCGCAGCGAACGAGTGAGACATACTTTCACACTCAAAGATAAAATTCGTATCCCCTCGCGGCCACGTAATGTCCTCTATTTAAGGCGTTAACTCAAAGAATTATTAACAGCACTGCAGTATTAATTGTTTATCTCAGAATCGGTTCAGGTTAACAGGGATGTAGCTAAAGTTTTTAACAGGCGGAAATCTAGCAATGATAGGCGGGTACCTGGCCAGAAGGACCTTTCTGGCGTGCCTTTGGCACGCTATACCCATGGGGGTCCGGGGGCATGCCCCCCACGGGAAAGTTTGAAAATGCATAGCAAAATCGAAGGCATTCATTATTTTGCATACATAAATAATAAATACAGCTGGCCGTTGAGCCCGCAAAATGGGCGATGCAATGCGAATGATGCGATCGTCGCACTAAATGGCATTCATTATTTCACATACATGAATTATAAGGCGCGCGCTTTGTCTTCCTTGTAAAAGATATAGAAATAACCACCACCACCAACCAATATATTCTGCATATTTACTTTCATGTATATTTTTATTACAATTTAGTTAGTCGTTATAATTTAGTTTTAATATGAAATATTTGTATCGTAGGCCTTCACAGATGAAGAGCCACACCTTTTTATGTGGATATACTGTGAATAAACATCATTATTATTATTATTATTATTATTATTATTATTGTTATTATGGAGTGTTTACAATTCTTTCAGTTCAGGTAAGACAGCAATGAAGGTGTAAACAAGCGAAATAAATAAATAACAATCTTCTGACAACATTTAAAAACATTTTGGAGAAAGAAGTAGTGCTTTGCAGCCGGAAAAATCGCGTTCACAGGCAGGTAATTTTCCCGGCTTCAGGCTATTATCTACATCCTTGGTTAAGCTCATGATAATGATGATGATTTATTTTTAACTCAGCTTGGTTTTACAAGATATATAGGTTAAATTTACATAGCGACTAAACACAGTACAGCAAAGGAATAAGGAAAAAAAATTTAGCAATAGAGTAGGTAGCTAGTTAGGATCATCCAAATAGCAAAGGCTGATCCAGTGGATCACCCCCCAATTATAAGATATAGTTAATTAATTATTAAGGGAAAAATTAAGAATAATTTTTTTTTTAATAAAAAGTATTGCGTCATGCACTAAAGTAGATAATTAAAAAGAGTAACAATTAAGTAGAGAGTTCTTCAAGGTTTTGCCAGATATTCTAAGAAAATTTGAATTAGTTATACTTGTAGGTAAAGAATTCCAAAGGCGAGGGCCAGTGAATTTTAGGGACCGTAGGCCATATTGAGTAGTATTAACTGAGGCTACATAAAGATTTCTGTTACATGATTGCCTCGTTGAGTAGGAATAAACAGAAGATGTAAATTTGAAATATCTATTGAAACAAGGGGGTACAGTCTATGTGACCATGGATAATAATAATGATAATAATAATAATTGACATTTATATAGCGCAAACCTCTATATGAATACGTTAAGTCGCGCTTCGCAATATCGTAAGATAAAATTATGGCAAAAGTAACTAGGATATAAGAACCTATTGGAGCCTACGAGTCTATGCACTCAGAGATAACAATAGCATACTTAAGTGAATAAGAAACATGAGTAAAAATAAAAATCTTTTTGAAAGCTAGATTAAAAAAAAATCAGTTTTTATAGCAGTCTTGAAAATGTCCGAATGTCTTATGAGTTCCCCGAGGGATTCCCTTTTCCGTGGTCTTACCAATATTAGCAAAGAAGTCGTTAAAGATGTTAGCAATGTCATAAGGGTTATCAACAGACTAATTGTTATTTATAATAGAAGTTATGTAACTGTTTTTACATTTACAAATATTTATAATTAACCTGATACCAGACCATAACTTGTGCATGTTAGGTTTATTTAAAGAAAAATATTGATTAAAATATTTGGATTTGCTATCTTTAAGATCTTTAACAACCCTATTTCTAAGTTTTTTTGTAGAGATAATGAATATTAGGATCTATTTGTTTACTTTTAAGTAATTTAGAATAAGGTTTTTCTCTATAATTCAGTTTCGCAAGGATTTCTCTAGTGATCCAAGGTCTGCACGATGCTTTAATCTCCTTCCTGGAAAGCCTCTTATAAAGTATATGCTTCGAGTATGAGGTATATGAGTCGATTTGGTCATATGAAAGATGAAAATTGCCATCAGTGTTTAAATTACTATTGTAAGTGGATGAGAAATCAAGGTGAGATACTTCATCAACAAACATTTCCTCACTGAAATGGGAATAATCATGTTTGTAATAATTTAAGGAGGCATAATTAACTTTAAGGTCTTCGATGATCAAAAACTGAGGGAAATGATCAGAAATCTTAGTAACTAGATTTCCACTAAGAGCATTAAAGTTGTACGTGTTAGCAAAAATGTTGTCAATTAAGGTGGCACTTCTATCAGTTACACGGGTTGATTGGAGAATATAAGGCAATAAATAATTAGAGTTAATCATATCAAGAAAATTTTCAGAAGCAAGATGGTTTACACAATTTAGCAGGTTAATATTAAAGTCACCTAGTAAAAGTATGTTCTTGTTTTCTCTTGCTAAGTTATATAATGCAGACTCAATATGCTCAGGGAATCTGTCAGGAAAGGACGAAGGGTGCCTATAGGCACAACAGCACAAGATACTTTTTGATTTAATATTCCTAATCTCAACCCAAACAGTTTCAAATTCCTCATCAGTTACACTAAGGTCAGTTCTTTTGACAGCATTCAATCATTTGCTCGTATAAATAGCAACACCACCTGCAGCTGTTCTGGATGGCTGTGAATGCAGATTATAGCCAAGCAAGGCATTATTCATTTTGAATCTTCTTAAAACATTTTCTCTTGTTTCACTGACTCCTATAACTTGGAAGGGGAAGGCTAATAAATCAAGAGTAGCATGTAAATCATCCAGATGAGCATCTAAACTGTTTAGGTTGACATGAAACAAGGAGAAGTAGGACTTATTAGATGATAAAGTCATTTTTTCAAAGTCATGAATATATAATACTTAGAGTGTAGATTGCTACGCATTATTTTTGTCTATTGTTTCTTGTGCAGTAGTGTTAATTGTAGTAAAGTTTTGCGTGCGCTTTCTTTGTGTCATTACTTTACGTAGCATGCATTTAAACCGTATTGTTCATCGTTGGTGCAGTTTTTTCAGGGCAGTTTCGTCAAGTGTCTTGTATATTCGTTCTTTTCGCTTCGCGCAGCTTGTTCGCCACTAGACAGGATTTACAACATAGCAACAAATGTAAGTTTGTATTATGTAGTTAGTTTTCGTCGTCGTTTTCTTTGTAGTTTTCCTTGGGTTAGATTATGTTCTGATGTAGCTTTGTAGCTTTCCTTAGTTTAGATTATGTTCTAATAGTTTTCGTTTTCTATTTTATTTGCAGTTTTAACCATGTTTTTTCGTCTCGCCGTGTTGAAATTGTGGTTGTTAGGGTTAGCCGACCCTGGCAGTAATATTGAGTTTATGGGATTAGGTATGTTATTATCGATATCAGAATACATCAAGGTAAGGTAATACCAGAAATTGTAGACAATATGTCAAGCGAGAGTAGAAATTCTAGATGAGTTGGTATTCTGCAGTTCATAAGGCTATATGGTTCAGAATCCTCAACAGAGGAGAAAGGAAATATGGAGGCAGTACAGTGTTTACAATATCATACCACATTAATTGAACATAGAAGACAATAATCATCCAAGGATAGTCCATTACATTTGTAGTGAATCCAATAAAGGCAGTTACCACAACGTATAGACTTATTCCTGTTCACAAGTCTGGAACAAATTAACATGGACACTTGTTGTTGGTGATTGTAATGTTAGTCATTTAGCATTTCGTTCAGGTAGATAATACGATTATCCAGATGAATAACTGGCACTAGGTGGTCTTTCCTTGATGACTAGTTTATCGTAGGAAAAGTAACCAATCTTACCCTCCTCCTTTGCTCGTTTTAATTTTGGAAGAGGTTCTCTTCGCTTCGCCATCGTTTCCTCGGCAAGATCTTCACAAATATAGATTCCATGCGGCTTGACTCTTCTAGCAGCTTTAAGGATCGCTTCTCTTTCCTTCAAATCGTAGAGTTTACATACGACTGTTCTCGGTTTTTTGCGTACCATCGGGTTTCTTACCTTTTCCGGTTCGATGTGTACGTTCAAGTGCAGGAGGTGATTCCACCTGTAGCTTTTCAGCGAACATCTCCCTCACTTTGCTTTCCATGCTCTCCCAAACCTCACCACCTGACTCTTATATTATGCGTTCGATGCGGATATTATTCCTACGACTTTGATTCTCGAGGTAGGTCGCCTTCTTCTCTAGCTGCTTCGCGCCAA